TTTAATATGTAGGTTTTAAAGAGTGTCTCTTTTAAAGTGGAAACAAATATTAATATAATATATTTCTATAGCAGGTTTTGTGAAGGTGGCATTTTTTGACCTTTTTTTAAGGAACTCTTATGGGTTAAGTAAATAATCCTGAAGTACTTCTTCAACCTCTGCCACATTTTATCCATTTGCAATACAGATCAATAGGCCTCTAAAAATGTACCCATTGAGAATAACCAAATCAATACAGAGGTCATTTAATCTTTTGGGTTAATTTTCTTTCTATGAGAAACAAACTGTATTATTTAAGTATTATTAAAGGTGGGGTAGGTAATTCACTCAGAAACACTTTTTGTTATATTCCATGGAATGCTCTTAACATCCCGATAGCAATAAATACATTAAATGCTTTGACAATAAATAAATAAAAAAATATCATCTGTGGAAGCCGTGGCGCTGTAAAAAGCACGACCAATCATCTGAGCCTTCCATCTGTGCACAAACTTATCTCGTGCCCTCATTGGTCATGTGCGCGTTAGTGTGTGTTGGGGGAGGGGCTCTGTAAGGAAGGAGCAGATTTTTTCCGGTTGTGTATTTTCAAATTCTAGCGCACTCGAGCTGGTTTCTCCATTCTTACCTACCTTTAAGTGATATCATGATATCTCACATCTCTCAATTCTCAATGACTGCTTACTTGATGCATGATTGAAAGTTACACATTCTACAAAACAGGAGCCAATTGTTTCTTCCTGGTGAAGCGCAGGGCTCGTTGTGTGTGGAGTGTGCCAACGTTAAAAATAAAAAAACTCATTGAACTCATTTTAAATAATTCACATGACATGGACACTTTGAGCAGATCGTACAGCCCCTGATGGAAAGGAACAGGGAGAAAGTTTTATTTTACCTGCCCCTTACTTAAAAATAGATGGTCAATCAATCGTATATATGACATTATTTAACATTATCATGAAAACCCTCCAATAGTTCTCTCCATGAGAAAGTTCAGTGTTTTTATAAACTTATTTTTGTCTTTTGTGTCACACTTTCCGAGCTCCATTAAGCGTCACTGTTCAATAACCCAGTAGATTTAAAGTGTTGCGTGATGTTTGTAAAGTTGCCTATAGGTCTCTTCTTTTGTAATAGGTGATTAAAGCTCTTCTGAGCGCTATGTCTATGTGTGTTAGTGACAAGTTTTTTCATTTTGTTGCACTTGTTAGGGCGGGGTTAAATCATTCAGTGCAAATGTGAACTTATAGTAAGCTGTTTTAATAGTGTCAATCTTGATTTTCAAATATACATTTTGCAAAAACACTATTCTTGGTTACAGGCCACATTGGTATATTAAAGCAACTTTTTTTTTTCATATACGATTACAATCATTTGAAGGAATTCATATACGTCAATGGGCGAGGTTAGAAAAGAAAAGAACATTGTGTACAACATTAACAACGTATATCTGATCACTGTTTCCAAGGGTAGAGAGGGCATGAGATCCCTTATCGAGGAATCTTTGGCAACCTCTTTGCTGTGTTATGTCATATGTACAGAGCAATGGTGTACAGACAGTTCTGACAACAATGCTCCAAAAATGCCCTGAACAAACCGTGTGAACCTATTGTGTGGGTAGCGTCAAACTAAGCTAACAAGTTCTCTACCTGACGATAAGAAAGCTTGTTATGTTTGAGAGCTTTATTCTTCCAATTCAATGCATTTTTGAATTGGGGAATAAACTCAAAGGGAAATAAAGCATGATAGAAGGAATAACGAGACCATCGCTAACGTGTCCATCTACAGTATTTAACATGTTCCCATTTTTATGATCAGATTACAGTAACCTCACGTATTCCCAGATTTAGTGTAAAAGAAAATAATTGAACACAGCTGTGTGAGGTGTATTTATGGTTGTGAAAGAAAGCAGATATCAAGTTCCAGAAGTTAAGGAAACAAAGGGATCAAAGGAATCTTGGTTATCAACACAATTCTCTCTCAAAAGCAACTGTCACAAGAAGCTATTAAAACAACACAATAGAAGGATTATGGCGGTAAGCCTATGGCTGCTCCTCACATTTTTTTAAAGCAGGTGAAAGGTACATTGTGTCATGCATTGGATTGCATAATATGTCCTGTCAGTCATTTGTATCTGTGTGGCCCTCTGCGCCAAACTTCTAACGGTGTGTTACCACAGGATAGCAGAGCAACATATGTTCTAATAAGCTTGAACTCATCGACCAATTCTAAATCCAATGTCATCTAATGTATTTTCGTATGGAAAAGGCAGCAGGAGAACTTTGAGGTGTTTTAAAGGAAACAGCTGATGAGTTTTTATAGTGTTTACCCTGTAGCATTATTTATAAGTGTTTAAATTGACTGAATGCGATTAGAGATACGTCCCAAAGTAAAAGTCTTGAGGTGGGTGATCGGCTTTTCCACAAAAATCTTTATTAAAATCAAACATGACATGCAGGCCTTCATATTGGATAAAAATCTGGACTAATTGCATAGTTTTCTTTAGCATGCTCGGGCTGCACCATGTGCGGTAGTTGTTAACAAGACATTTTACACGTTAAAATCTCAACATTGGCTAGACGCCGCTGGTGGCACTCAGCAATAGAGCTGCTGCTAGTTTCATAAGCTGATACAAAGTAGGATCTTATTGTAAAAGGAAAACATAGTATCTCCGATTAGGGTGTGTTGCAAGCTTAATTTATTTATTTTATAGTATTGTAATATTTATTGGATTTATGTTATTTTGTCATCTCCTTTATGAGGTATCATCCTCATCATTTATTTTATGCTTATTATCATAACTATTTGACGGCTCCTTGAAATCTTTAATTTTAAACCTGTTAAGCAACATCTCGGGGCGAGACAGCAGCGTCTGAGGGCTTTAACATTCAACCAACCTATGAATCGTGTCATCGCACTAACGGGAAAAACTCAGCTAACTTGACGATAACTGAACAATTGTTACCGTAACAAACACAAGTCTGAACGCCGAGCCTCTGATTAGGCACTAGCGAAGAGTGCTAAGCGGCCTACAATAACTGCACGGTAGAAATAGGTTATACTTCATCGGATCTGCACAAACTAGATATATATATGAAGCTGATATAGTACCACAGATTTACAATCGATTAGTATCAATCACTGTGCGACAAACTCACGGAGCGAAAGCCAGCACAGAACAAGCACACACTCTCACTTACAAGGCAAGCGGCAATACGTCTTAGCTTCTGTTTTCTGATCAAAAGTTGTGTCAATGGCATATAGAAGGCGGGGGGCATATAACACGTTGTCTAGCTATCCGCATCATTCAAGGGTGGATTTTCACACTAAGT